TCTCGAGATTCCTCCAAAATGCTGAGTACCTGGAAAGAAGTGGATAACAGTGTCGAGTGTTTAGATTTCCCTGATGTGTTTGCTAGTGGTTCAGCACTGAATTTGATACAAAATTCTTCTATAAAGCACAAAATGTTTTAGCTTGATGATTTCACAGATTGTGCTGAACTGTAGGAAGTGATTATTGTAATTTATAGTAAACTGTAAGGTAGAACCACATTTTAAAAATTCACTTTTAGTCTTTATCTGCAACCTCTGTTGTCTCTATTTCAGAATGGATGCAAAATACTCACCTGAATCCAAAGTGGCATTACTTCTGGGCTAGGATTTGAGCTGTGGTTTAGCTTTGAATCTTTCAAATAATGTTTTTGATGATGGTTTTGCATCAATTTCGGTGTAAAGGGCAGCACTTAGATGAGCTGTTCAAGGGATTAGATTGATTCCTTTGCACTGTGGGAATAAGTATCTGTACCAGTCTGTACATCAATCCCAGCTTATTTTTCTTGGCACTCTAGGGCAGGGGCAGGCAAAGTCTGGCCCATGGGCTGGATTGGGACCATAGCAGACTCCATTTTCCAGTAGTCCCTGCCCATGTTGCTGTGGCTGGTTTCCATGGAGACCCCAGGAGCAGCGGAGCTGTGACAGCACAGGGCCAGGGTTTCCATGGAGACCAGCCTCAGCAGCTGGCAGCCTGTGTGGCAGGGTGGGGAGCTGCCAAAATGACAGGGTGGGGAACTGCCATTTTGCTCACCCCTGCTCTTGTAACTCCCTACAAGCCCTGATCATCCACAAGTGCAGAAGAGGGATAAGGGAGTGGTCTGGCAGAGACTAGTGTCTCTAGGAAGCAGGATTTTTTATGACTTCTTCCTCTATCATTTATATGGCTTGCAAATAAACCAATTACATTTAAAGCATCTTAACTTTTACTGAAGGTATTTTCTTTTCCAGTTATAACACTTCAATCTAATTCATATGCCAAAAACTTTATCAAACTCGATTGAGTGGACAGAGAGCATTTAGAGCTAAGCATGCAGCGTCAACTATACTGGAATGTGCTCTTCCATAATTCAGTCAAGTCTCAACAAGTCATTTGGAGCATGCTGTTTGGGGGGGCATGCTTGCATATGATTAAACTGAACTGTAGGTATAACTACACAAGCAAGTGTCATAACCAAATTAAGTAGCACCCATGTCACAAGCAAGTAAAACCATTCAAAACAGTTTTTTTCTGCACTAGGTTAACTAAGGGTTAACAATAATGATAGTAACCGCTTTTTTGCTGCGCATGTCAAAAAGAAATTTATTGCTGCGCCACTAACAGAGATAGAACTTAGACTTCTGTGCTGTACATAAATCATTATAATTGGTCAAAGAAAACAAGGAGTAACCCTATGATAACACCCTAGCGAAGACCGCTAGATAATTGGTGATTCTAATTAAATTTATGACGTGGCGAAAAGCAATTGGCTATTATACAAATAAAACCCGTCTTCACTTCTATGAAGTGGGAGACCTCCGCGCACACACCTGAAAAACCTCTGAACGTATGCGTGAGAGTAACTGACAAATTGATCACTTGTCAGTTTCCCCCATCTCGACCCAATTCTCAGACGTAAATCGACGACCTGCCGGCCCGACCATTTCTCTGCCCGACCACCAAACTCTTATGCAGACCGACCTATGACCTACGAACTTTAAGCTATAACTAACCAAATATCTTTGACCTCTCTCTTTCACCACCTTGACGGCGTGAGTAAATAATCTTGCTTTGCAACCGATAAGTGTCCGCCTAATTAATTCCACTCCAAGCGTCACAAGTACCCGCCTGACGGACCCTTAACTGCCCGGGTGGGAGTCAGGGAGAGCTGCTGGCTGGCTGCCCTGGGGCCCGACAGCAAGCTATGTGAGGCAAACTGGAGTGTGAATTTATATGTTTAAAACTGCAGTAAATTTTTCTGTTCTGTGGCAATTTTTCTATTAAGTGTGAACCATCCCTGACTGTTCCTTAAAATCTCCAGTGACATGATTTCACATCCTCCCTGGGTAACCTATTCTTGCCTCTTTATCCTTGTAGTTGTATGTTAGGAAAAACATAACTTTCTAATTTAGGTCTTTTGGTTGCAAACTAAGCCAGTTACTTGTCCTCTCCCAGTGAGCATAGAGACCAGTGAATTTTATTGGCTACCCCTTGATATGAGGATGATGTCTGCCGGCAGAGGCGTGGGGGTATTACTGGTGAGTTTTAAGGTGACTGAGGAGCCCAATCCATGCTGTGCAAGTTTTTACACAGATATGACAAGTGGTACCTTGGGGGGGGACACAAATGTTGGCCATGATGCTTTCCTTTGTCTTCTGCCATTTCTCAGTTTCTGAGCAAGACGGTTCTTTTTGAAGTGGCCTGTAGCTTGATGTATGATGCGGTGCCATGGAGACCTGTCACCAACAAGCACTTCCCAATTTGTAGTGTTGATGCCACCTTTCTTAAGGTGTGTTTTCAGGGTGTTCTTGTAGTTCTTGCTCTGTCCTCCATGGGTCCTCTTACTATAACTAAGTTGAGAGAAGAGGACTTGCTTTGGGAGAGGTGTGTTAGCCACCTGCACAGAGTGGCCAGCCCAGTGGAGTTGATGTTTCATGATCTTTGCCTCAGTGCTGGTTATGTTAGCTGCAGAGAGCATGCAGGCACTGGTGCAGTGGCCTTCCCATCTAATGTGAAGGGTCTTCAATGGATAACAATCTTCACGCAGGTAAATTTCCTTTTAGAGCGCACATATGCACATGGTGCTTCCTGCCTGACTGTCCTCCTGACACTCCCCCCAGCCCCTTGCAGGCTGGAAATCTGCCCGCCTGCAGAGAGCTCTTTGCAAAAGTGGAAAATCCATGTGTTTCTCCATTCAAATGAAAAATCTGTGTTTTTCTTGGTTAAAAGGAAAAATCCATGTTCTTTTTCCATTTTTCTGTAGGAAACAGAAAACCCATATCCCTGGTTATGTGCTATTTTAGGTGTTCCCAGTGGTCAGCTCAGTGCAGAACTCATGAAAGCAATGTTATTTTATCACCATCAGCAATCGGGATGGAAATGTTGATTGATACATATCAAGAGTTGTTCCTTGGAAAAGAAGTTATTAGTTTTTTGCTTTGTACAGCAGATGCTCTGCTTTGGCAAGAGTGAAAGGGCCAGTTAAGAAAAGGTCTGAGGGCATTCTTTTCTTTTTCTTGGTAAGGCCATCTAGATTAGTTTGTGTCCTAAAGATAAACAGTTTATACTACAGAGTATCCTCTTGAGCAAAACAAAATTTAGAGAAAGGAGGTGAACTCTATCAGGAATATGGAAATCCCTACATCATCCCTTCAGTTTGCAAAAAGTCAGATACTATATGTTATATGTAATTATAACTAATAGGTTAAAGTTGTACTTACCAGACAAGGATATCTGTGGTGAAGCTCACAGAATGGTTTATTAATGTTATAAATATTTTGACCTAAAATGAAGAATGTCCTAGTATGTTTTGTTTTCTGGTGTTTTGTTTACTTGCAATGTACTTCTTTTGAAGACATACTTGAACTTTTTCAGTTCACAAAGGGACATTCTCAAGTCTTCCATATCCTAAATTTCACTAACGTGCAAGGTTATTTTTATACAGCCATACTTATTTTCCTAATGTAGAAATTGCATAATTATCCACACGTGTATGCAATGTAAATAAAATCTCAACTTTATAACCTTCTCATGATAATTAAAAAGTTTTACTTTTTTTTGTAATAGCAGATACATTCTGCATCCATAATGAATGCATTTGTGCATGCTATTGTTACCCTTGTCCTAAATTCTCCATCCAGCTTTGGTGGTGTGATCAGGGCAGCAAAGAAATGAAATAATGTGTGTTTAAGCTTTCCAGTTATGGAAGAAGGAACCAAAACAACCAACCAACCATACAGTAGTTGCTCATAAAAAGAGTTTAGCATTAATTACATGGGACATGTTAGACTTTTCCTTTTGATGTTCTTGTTTCCAACTGGCTTCCATGTCTCAGGTTCCTTTCAATTTACTGATTCTCTGCAGTTGTGCATTCAGCAGGGGTTTGCTCTTGTGGTTTCTTTTGAGACCCCTTTCCCCCTCCCTCCCACTCCTAAGTAAATGTATTCTAAGAGGGCTAAACTCTAGAGAGAGAGAAGAGAGGATGCATAAAATAGGTATGAGTTGGACAAACTTATATTAATTTAGACACCTAGGAAGCTATGGTGATATAATTATTGTTTCCCTTTCTCACATCTGTGTCTTGCCTCTGACACCAGATTCAATAATTCTAACTTGCTTTTCTCACATGTACATGATTCCTGGAACAAATATGGCCATAAACGGCATGGTGGCTATCTAATGTCCAGTTCCTAGGAACTTTTCATTCCATCCAGGAAGAGCAAACACCAACTGCTGAAACTTCCTTAGCCTGATGAAGGGTTTTTGAACCTGAAAGCTTGCTTAATAACTTTTCTCCAACTATTTGGGTTGGTCTAATAAAAGATATCAAATTCACCCAAGGAACCTTGTCTGCCAGTTCCTAGGAAGCAACTCTACACCAAGAATTGATTTTAGCAAACTTTTCTTGCTTCTTTGAAAAGAACTTGGTAGACTGTGTTTATAACATCCTGACATCTACCATAAATTTTAGCATGGGGAAGCTTAAAAAAGAAGCAGGACTTAAACATTCACTTTCCAGAGCCACTTTTTAGACCCAAGCATAAGTGAGGAAGTTGGTGTTAGTAGGAATCCTATGTATACTTTTTTATACACCTGCTTTAATTTTCCCCAGTGTCCAGAGTTAATAACAACAGTAACAAAGCTTATGATGCTATATATGAAACTAAGGCAGTGCCTCCCAGTAATTTCCTCCTCCTTGCCTGTGTTTAGTAATACATAATATGACAAAAGTCTGCAACTCATCATGATATGCATGGAACTTCATAATATTTGCCCCTTAATATGCTCCTGTTCCATTTAATAGGTGAATTAAAACCTTGGGATCTTCTGATTTGCTTGTCTTCTAGTAAAGCCAATGATACAAACTGCTTTCAGATGGATGACTTGCATCGATTAGAGCTATTCCAGAAGGTACAGTATTCATATGTCATTTCCTGTTTGAACTAGCCCATATTTTCAGTACCCACTTTAAACGTGTTGATTTTTGGGTCTTAAAAGTAAGTTAATTAAATTCTAAAGGATAGGCATGTTTCCATAATTACCACCCACCAAGGAACATCTTTCATATGTCATATATATGTTCTTAAGAATATCCTGTTATCCTATTTGGAAATCAGAGCACTTTATGATTCCTTACGATTTGCATGTAGTTTAATCTCTTTAGTGTTTGTAGAAATTGAAAGTGTGTTGCCTATGGGTGCCATGCTTTTGTTTTGGTCTAATTTGGTCCTCTGGAATCGATCACCCACGGTCAGAATTCTGCTGCTGTGTATCAAAGGAACTATAGCAGTTGCATCAGACTTAAAGAAAAATATCTTTGAGACAAGATAATTTGTGAATGAAAAGAAAAACAAATTGTAAATGCACCCAGAATTTTTAGAATTGGGACCACCTCAGCCCAAGTTAAGTGAGGGTTTTGTGGCCCATGCCAGATCTGGATTAACTGTAGAAATATATGTCCTTAACTGCCCTTTGCTTTCCTAAACATTGCCCAATACAGGCACAATTTAAGTAACATAGACATCAAAAGAACTTGATCAAATATCTGGCTTGCAGGTACAAACAACTAAACAACTTAAATTGCTCAGTTATTTATATGTTCAAAACTGTAAATATCAAAATAGTTTGTAATTTTAAAAAATGCACACATACTAATTGAAGATACTAAATTGTACTCTCATAACTGAAGGTTCAGAGTAAAAGTGATAGGGATTGTTACCTATTTATTATTCATTAGGGCTGTGTGAAATTTCGCCGGCTGTTTCGTTTTGACACTGTTTTGACTTGTTTCAAGCTCAAAATAGCAAAATCGAAATGAAGGCCTTTGAAACAGCCTCAAAATGAATGAGGGCAGTTGAACGTTTTGAGCTTCAAAACGTTTTGAGTTTTGAAGCTGAAGCTTGGCTTGCCTTCAGGGAAACAGGAAGTAGGGAAGACGGGGGAAGGACTGCTCTGATATTGACTGACTGGCTGCCTGAGATGCTGCTGGTGCTATTGTGCTGCTTACTAAGTTATTACCTGTTGTCATTTAAAGTGGTGGACCGGACTGAGGCTATAGGGGAGAAGGAGACCTCATTGAAGCACACTACCATGTCATGTAGAGGCCCCAGTGCCAGTGAGGACACGCCTTAACATACACACACATAGTCACAAGTTTTGCTTATCAGCAGCTTGAGGTACAGGTTCCCAGAAACCCCTGCACCTATCTTCTTGAAACTTGGCAGGCTTCATGCCCTCAGAAGGGCCTACCATCCCTGCTGTTTTCATCCAAATCTGCCAAAAAATGACAAAGTTATTGGCAGTTTCATGCTTCCCCATTATAGCCTATGGGCGAAACGTCGAAACAGTGTCAAAACAGTGAAACAGTTTTGACGAAACAAAATGGAACAGTGCTTTGAAATTAAATGAAACAAAAAATGAAACACTGTCCCATCAAAATGGCAAAATGGAAGTCAAAATGAAACGGTGCTGTTTCACACAGCCCTATTATTCAATAGTGTTACAGTACCCTGTGGAAACTTTCATGAGGTAGGATTTCCATGGAACCCTACTTCCCTCCCTCGAGTTCATCCTAGGTCTGTCCACCATCCTGAACTCCGGACTGGATCTGGCAGGCAACCTGACCCAAGGGTAGGGAACCATGCATCTGTATTCCCAAACCCTTATTTTCTCAGATTTCCAGTGTTCAGGACATTTAAAATATACTTGGTTTCCTTCTCATTAAAAAAAAAAAAATTCTCAAATTTCCTTTGAGCATGAAACCTTGCTTTCTGGTCAGCCCCATCCCATGTTGTACTATTTGAGCCCTTCAGGATCTTTAATGTATTCATCCTCACAATACCTTGTGATGTAGCCAAGTGCTATTAGCCCCACGTCACAGATAGGGCACTGAGGCATGGAAGGACCCAAGCGGGGGTTTACCTTGCTAGGGGTGGACAAAATATGACCCACAGACTGGATTTAGCCTACCAAGGAATTTTGTCCGGCCTGTGGTAGGTCCCTTGGTCCTGCCTGGCCCAGGTGCAGGGGACAGTTCGGGCCGTGGTGTGTGTGGCCAGTCCTGCCACCCATGGGCGCACAGCAGGGCTGGGGTGGTGTGACGGCTGGACTTGCTTTCCAGCAGCCCCTGGCAGCAGCATCTCCTTCTGGCTGCTGCAGCTGCCAGTCACAGCCCTGCTACCTGGGCACCACTGGTGGCAGGACCCACATGGGTGAGGTGCATGGCTGGGTGTGGGGAATGGGGAGCAGCATCTGGGAGCGGGAGGGGCAAGGGGGCCGGGGTCACAGTGTGGTGTCAGTGTGGTGCCAGGACCTGGGGCATAGTCATGATCCACTGCCCTGTATGCTTCTGTATTGGGCGCCGGTTCTGCAGGGAGGGACATGTAGGGAGCAGATCATGGTTCTGTCCCAGGCCCCAGCCCCACGCAGTCACTGCCCCACCCAAGATCCCGGCCCCAGCCCTGCCTGCTCATCCTGTTCCTGGATGCAGCTCCCCACCCTCCCGCAGCTCCATCCTGTCTGCCTGGCCATGTGCCCTGTCTGGCTTCCATAGAGACCCTGGGATTGTGAGGCAGTAACAGCGCAGGGCCGGGGCCTGGGGTAGGGCTGCAATCTGTCCTCTTATGCCCCTGCCCACAGAACTGAACAGAACTGGCACCTGTTGCAGTGGCGTGCAGGGAGTGGATAATGGCTGTGCACTAAGCCCTGGCCCTGTGCTGTCACTGTTCTGCGAACCCAGTCCTGGTCTTGCCCACCTGTTCCGCTCTCAGATGCCCCCCTTCCCCCCCTCTCCCACCCCTCCACCTGCCCGTGGCCCTATCCCCACCTCCTGGCCTAGTGTGGAGCAGAGTCGCTTAGGGAGATTTGGTGAGCTGTTTGTGGGGAGATGGGGACAGGACTGCTGATCTGACATGCAGCAGCTCACCAAGACTCCTTAAGTGGCATTCGGGCTCAAATAATTTCCCACTCTTGGACTATATGGTCAGTCTGTGGCACAGCAGTCCCACTCTTGGACTATATAGTGAGTCTGGGCCTCAGACCAGATCATGCACATTGTCGTATTAGACCCTAAAATCGGAACTGTTGTTGCTCTGTGCATTTTTTTTCCTGTATTGTGAATGAGAATGATTGGTAGATGAGTAGAGAAAGAAGCTATGGAGGCTGAAAAAGAGAGGTTAAAAAACTCCAGTAAGCAGGAGAAGAAACAGCCATTTGATGGCTGTGGAGAAAGACTGCCTAAATTGGTCCTTTCTCCAGGTCACAGGTTGTGGCAAGGAGTTATAAGAACATAATAGCACTTCCATGCCTGAGTTGTCCCTGACAAATTATACATGAAATTGTGCTAACCTCCTAAAAGAACGTGAACTTACCAATGAGGTTGCTAACATTTCTCTTTATTCTTTTCAGGTAAATACAATCCCAGAAATTCAACATTTGCTTTGCAGAAAAGAAGGATTATGCCAGATAATTAGAAAATTTCCAGGTAATCCTTTATTTTTTAAAATTTGCATATATGTTGAAGGTGCTTTGATTTTCTTAGGAGTGAGACTAGTGTGTTGGAATGTGAAGTATTATTAAATATTATTTAGACACTAATTAAACTAGTACAAGAGTATTTGTCTGTTTTGCACATCTCTTAAAAGTGAATTGCATTTATTAGAGGCTTTGTCTATGGGCAGAGCTATAATTTTTAAAAGGGGGGTGCAGTTGGTAAGGTGCGTGATCACATAAAAACACATTTTCTCCACTTAAAAATAAACTAGGAACATTATTAAGTATATTAGAGGCCTAGGGCTAGATTATTCAGTTTAATATTGAAGCAAAAAAATATAACTTCGTTAGAGTGAATTAAAAACAATGTGCGGGGCTGTGAAATAGAAGCTTCAGGAATAGCTAACAGACAGCAGAATTGCAGAAAAAAGGTAGCTTGATTGGTAGACCATCAAGACCATTAAAAAGAAGAGAGGGTCATTAACACCTGTGGAATGAAGAGTTTAGATAAGTAACTACAAAGTAAATTGACTCTGTCAGCATGGCCTCACTAGAAATGCTGCTGCCACTTGTCAGGGAGTTGGTTATTAAACTTTGGGTGGACCAGGAATCAAAGGTGTATGCAAGTGTACCAGTGCAGTCTCCCTAGGTCCACCCCTAACTATCTAAACTGCCTTCCAGTTAAACCCACTATCACTCCTGAGGAAGTAAGCCCTGGACTCCAGGTGCACTCAGGCTCTTCAGTCAGACAGTGGAGGTGGTCAGAGCAGGTCCAAATATGCTACCCAACATAGCTCTCAGGGTTTTCTAAGGCAAAGAACTGGAGAGCAACACTAGGATATGCACCCAAGGCTGCACTGAACTATCTCTGCTGATTATTTGCTAGCTTTTTTGTGTGGGAGTCTATGGGTAGAGCTTATTTTCTTGGCAGCAGTCCTAGGCTTGGCACGGAGGTATTATAGATGAGGCCATAGTAGCCTTTTAACTAAAAATATTGCATTATTTAACTGGAGCATACTGGGGAAATAGATGCTTCTAGGATACAAAATATAATGTGTTAGTATCATGTATTCATGGTGAAATCCTTAGTTCAATGCAGTAAGTTTATCCAGCTTTACAAAAATGTTGTGGCATGGAGAAGGAGTAGGAGTTGGAGCTTGGTTTCTGTCCAGACATAGTTTACTGATAAAAAAGCCTTTGTATATTAAGTTCATCAACCAGAGAAGTTTAAAGGTTCTAGGCCTGTTGCCAGAGAATCATAATTTACTATGGTTCAAATTTAGCCCAGTGTAAAAGGGCTTCAAAAAGCCCTATGCACTCTTTTAAGCACTAGTTAAACCCCATGGAATTGGATTCAGAGCTCAGTTATACCAGGGAATGCCCAAAGTCATTGCTGCTCTTCTGGATGTACACAATGTAATTGATATCACACTCAGTTCTTTTGCTGAGTTCATTTTTGTGTTTTCAGTGACACAGTGCTTTGTGTGGGTTCTTGCATTGGGATGTGAATTGGAGGCTATCCTAATTATAAACTAGATCTTGGACAGTCAGAATAGACCTGTAAAAGTGTCAAGTATTTTAGGATTTGAAAATTAATATTCATTTTGTAATAGTTTGCCTTTGAAACAGTTTGGTCTGTTCCATTTGGTCCACTATGTTGTACTATTTGGAGAAAGGCCAATTAAAACTGTGTTCTTGCTTTGCTACCACAAAACCACAAGCACAGGAAGCACTCGCCGCACAAAGAGATTTGCCCCTCACACGTGTACTGTTTCATTGGTGTTCATAAATTGTGGTATCAACCACTCTCGTACTACATTCAACTAGTATGGTAAACGGGCCAGTGTTTCACTTCTCTTACAGGTACCATATGGGTCCCTTTTCCATGTTGTTTTATTATTATTTTAGACTAGGAGTTTTTTCTTGATAGATGCTGAAGTCCAATTGAAAATGTTAGGCATTGTGGGTGTTCAGGAGTCAAGTCCCTACGTCAGTATCTGAGGATGAAATAAACCTGAGGAGGTTTTCAATACTCAAGTGGCATACATTAAGTTTTGTATAAGAATGTTTTTGCCAAGACTGAAAACAAAACAAAAAACCCATGAAACATGTTTAATCTGTGATTTTTTTTTTTACTTTAAACATTGCCCTGCAATTCTGGAAACCAAACACAACAGCACTGCACTTGTGCATGAGATTCAGAAACTGAACCCAATCCAATCATTTGGATTTAGTGGTCAAAAGGAGTGAAAGACATGAAATATACCAACAGCATAAATAATGACAATAGACTCCCCATCCTAGGGTGGTGTTATAGTTTACTGTTAAATAGTCATAAAGGCATGTAAAATGGGAGCATTTACTTATTAAAGGGTGTTAACCTGTGCTAAGTACTCTCTAAATGTTTTAAAGTTATGCCAATTCAAATAAGGGTTATGTTATCCTTGATCCATTTTACCCTGGTGCACCCAGGGTATTGTTAGTCTGCTCTGGGGAAATAAAATGCTTTGTTTTCATTCCTCCAGCATCCCAGGATGCACCATTCCCAGCCCTTCCCACTCCTTTGTTCCGTGGACAAACTTTCAACCCTTCTAAACGCTGTTGCTCAAGGGGGTGGTCCTGGCTTCAAGTGAACACCTCCTCTTTCCTCCAGGGGGTGTGACCCCAGAACACCTGACCCAGGTGCAGCGCACTAGTTTGCTGCTTGCTCTGGCATCCCCATTCACTTGACTGGCTAGCTGTTGGTGCAAGGGGAGCAGTTAAAATGTCAATGAAACACTAATGAGCATGGACAATTAGTTTTTAGAGCTAGGCATCCATCTGCCTCCCCATCCACCTCACCTCACCTCAGGCCAGTGCATCATGGCTTTGTTTCCCCTCCTTCATGGTATTGATTTGAACTGAACCACTATCATTTGAAATGGTTCTGTCAGCAACCCCCTTAGCCAACTGATGCTGCGAACCTGCTGGATCTCAACTCTGCCTGATGTGGCATACATGCAGTGAGCTCATTGGGTCTTAGCTCTGCCCTGGTGTGAGTGTTAACCCAACTTCTCTGTTATCTTTTGATTGGACTTGTGCTTAGGAGTGAGAGTAATTGATCAATTTGACCATTCCAGTCACAACTTGAAAGCTTTATTAGGCTATGTAATAGCAAAGACTGATTGCTACTAATAAAAACAATGCTTATGCAGCCTTGGATTCAGGAAGAACAGGTCTGCTGGCCAGGCATCTCTGCTTTCTTGGGCACTCTTGCTGAGTTTTTTTTTTCTTGCCCCAGGACCAATATGTATACATGGTTGATTGGATGTGCTAATAACTGACTTCTGATTGGTTTTATTTAAATTTCTTTGTTTCATTGGAATTTTTGGAATTGGATGGAACCCGATTGTAGTGTTCCTGGGAAAGACATCAAGGGATCACCTTAGCTAAGGCTCTTTATTTTTAGGTGTCTGACCCCAGTCTGTTAATCATCTGGTAGTCTTTACTCAAGATCATGTTAATCAATTGAAATTGATATTGTTGAGATAGCAGAAGGAAAAATTTCTTATCTTCTTTATGCCTTGCCTTTTGGCCTTTGGTCAGTTATTTACTAACTTTGGCCTGTGAGCCTGACAAGGCTGTTTTACTCTTTCCATCCTCAAGACTACCTTTATGTCTATAATCATTTGAACATGTTATCAAAATGCACTTATTATAACAAAATAAGTATTAATACATTTGGCTACCTTTGTTTTAGGTAATGCAACTGTAGCGCAGAGCATTTAGGATACAAGCCCTTGGCTTGCTGTTCAGTCGTATTTCTGCAGCTTTGACTTAGGTTCCCTGAAATTGGCCAAGCCTGACATCCACACTTTCCCTTCAGTTTGGTCATGCTTTGGATAGTATATGTTTGATTCCAGTTATAGTGCTGTTTGTCACCCATAGCTCATGCTGCATGGCTACATCTCCATGACCAAATCCCAATTCACTGAAACCCATACAAGAATTTGGTCCTTTTTATTTGTTTCACTCCTTTATCTTTACTTCGCCTTATTTCTCCAGCTGGCTACTGTTGGCTGTGGAATGAGGGAAGCCACAACTCTACTCCTAGAGCAGCAATGGGCAAAATGGCAGATAAAGCTGGTGGCTGAACTCCCATTTCCCAGCAGCTCCTGCCTGCATCACTGCGGCTAGTTTCCATGGAGACCCAAGCAGTGGTGGCGCTGTGACAGTGCAGGGCTAGAGCTTCCATGGAGACCAACCCTAACAGCACTGGCAGGGCATGCAGGGCAGAGGGCAGGGAGCTATTCTGGGGCCAGGGCTGGGATTTTGCAGTGGTGACAGTGTGGTCCGGAGCCAGGACAGAGCCATGATTTGCTGCCTGCGTGTCCTGAGTTTGGGCAGCGGATCGCAGCTCTGCCTCAGCTCCAGACCATGCTTTCACTGCTGCAAGATCCCAGCCCTGGAGCAGCTTCCCGCCCAGCTGCGTGCCCTGCCAGCACTGCTCGGGCTGGTCTCCATGGAAACCCTGGCCCCTGCGCTGTCACAGTGCTGCCGTTCCTGGGGTCTCAATGGAAACTGGCTGCAGCAACGCAGGCAGGGGCTGCTGGGAAATGGTGTCTACCATGGGCCCAATGTGGCCTGCCCCTACTCTAGAGGGAAACCACAACATGCTGAGCTACATGCCACCCTCCCCCCGCTTCTCACAGCTGGGAGGAGGGAGAGAGTCCTGGCTCCTGTCTGTGCCCCTGCTCACCAGGCCATCCAGTGGCTAGTCACAGTTGTGCATGTCTGACACAGCATTAAGCCTTAACCTTCTGAAACTGTTCTAACTTTATGATGGCGTAATATTCCAAGGATTTAAAATGTTTTAAAGGCAATCTATAACAGCACCCATAGCTAGCTAATTCTTTCTGCCTTGTTGGAACTTCTGATAGAGTTTTCCTCCCAGACCAGACAACAGAACTGACAATAATCTGGGTTTGGCTGAGCGGCTAGGATTTTAAAATT